AATTATACTATGACCGAAAAAGAGCTCCTTTCCATTGTGTTTGCTACTGAGAAGTTCCGCACGTACTTGACGGGTACAAAAGTGATTGTCTACACGGATCATGCGGCACTTTGTTACCTTATGAGCAAGAAAGATTCCAAAGCCTAGTTGATGAGATGGGTGCTTTTATTGCAAGAGTTTGACATAGACATCCAAGACCGAAAAGGAAGTGAAAACCAAGTGGCGGACCACTTGTCTCGTTTGGAGGAGGAGGGGAGGCCGCATGATGGCCTTGAAATCAATGACTCCTTCCCCGATGAGCAACGCTTAGCCATTTCAATGAAATAGGTTCCATGGTTCGCGGATCTAGCAAATTTTCTTATGAGTGGTATTATCCCGGATGAGTTCTCTTCAAACCAAAGGAAGAAGCTCAAACGGGATTGTCAAGACTATTATTGGGATGAACCATACCTTTTCCAGTTTGTACGGATGAAGTGATTAGAAGATGTGTACCGGAGGAAGAACAATGTGAAATTCTTGGGGCTTGTCATTCTTCGCCATATGATGGTCACTATGGTGGAGCACGAACGTCGGCCAAAGTGTTAAGTTGTGGTTTCTATTGGCCCACTATTTATAAGGATGCAAGTGATCTCGTCAAGCGTTGCGATGAATGTCAAAGGGCCGGTGGAATCTCAAAGAAAAATGAAATGCTTCTCACCACCATTTTGGAGATTGATATTTTTGATGTGTGGGGTATTGACTTCATATGTCCCTTTATGAGTTCTTGTGGAAGCACCTACATCTTGGTAGCTGTTTATTATGTGTCAAAATGGGTTGAGGCTGTTGCTCTACCCAACAATGAAGCAAGAAGTGTGGTGGCATTTTTGAAGAAGAATATTTTCACAAGGTTTGGTACTCAGCGAGCTATCATAAGCAATGGGGGGTCACATTTTTGTAACAAAACTTTTGACACCTTGCTTAGCAAGTATGGTGTCACTCATAAAGTTACGACTCCCTATCACCCTCAAGCAAGTGGTCAAGTGGAAGTCTCCAACCGGGAGATAAAGAGTATTTTGTCCAAAACAGTGAATGCCAATCGGACGGATTGGTCAAAGAAGCTTGATGATGCACTATGGACTTATCAGACTGCTTTCAAAACTCCTATCGGGATGTCTTCATACCAGTTGGTGTTTGGCAAAGCTTGTCATCTTCCGGTGAAACTTGAGCACAAGGACATGTGGGCTTTAAAGAAGTTAAATCTTGATTGGGATGCAGCTTCCACCTTACGGGTTGCACATTTGAATGAATTAGATGAATTCTGGTACCATACATATGCAAGTTCGTCCTTGTACAAATAAATATTGAAGTAACTTCATGACAAATACATCCGAAACATGGAATTCAAGGTGGGCGATCTTGTTTTGTTGTTCAACTCATGATTGAAGAGGTTTCCCGGAAAGTTGAAATCCAAATGGAGTGGTCCATTTGAAATTGTGGGTGTGACACCTTTTGGTGCATTGGACTTAAAGAACAAAAGTGATGAGGTATTCCGAGTCAATGGTCACCGGGTGAAGCATTATTTGGGACAAGCTGATGATGGCCACGTGATGACAGTGATTCATTTGAAGTGATGTAATCTGCGTCGTGTCGCGACGTTAAATCAGGCGCTTCTTGGGTGGCAACCCATGTTTCTTTTTCTTGTTCTTTTTCTTCTTCTTTAGATAGGGTTTCTTTTGTGCTAACTGGTTTTGAGGTATGTTGCAGGAATGATTGTGCTTTTGTAGGGACTGTGCTCAGACAAAATTTACTAAGCATGAAAAAAGTACGGACCGCACATGTATTGTACGGACTGCACAATTTTGAATGCTATAGCAAAAAAGGGATCTGCGACCGCACAACTTGAGATGAAAATTTGCAAACTCTCTAAAGTTTATTTGTCAGAGAAATGGCCATTGTACGGCCGCACAAGGAAATCTACGGTCCGCACCAGAATCTGCGGTCGCACAAGGAATTTTGTGGACCACAGATCAACAAAGGGTAAATGCCTATAAGGTAAAAGAGTGCGGACCGTAGAAGGAATTATGCGGCCGGACTCGTCTCTTGAACTTTTGGCCAACCCGTTAAGTATAAATAGTAGCCTTCACTTAACTGTTATAACTTTACACTCTTAGAGAATTAAAACAAAGGCACAAATATTGCACTCAACTGAAGCACTCATTCGCCTCCTAAATCATCATCTTTGATCACTCCTTAACACCACTTCATCACTGGTATGTTCAAATCATCCTTAGAATTTTTAATTTTCTTAATTTAGTTGATAATTTGTTTAGTTATTTTCAATTGTCAAATTGATAACCATGTGGACTATAATTTGTGTTGGGTAAACTCCTAGTTGCTATATGGGGGATAGGTATTTGGTTGATATAGTTTAATTGCTACTACCATGTCCAAATTGTGCGAAAGAGTAGAAACCCTAGAATTTGCCCGATAAATTTTTGAATTGTGCGGCCCGCAGATCAGTAGGCTAAGGCATTTGGTGTAAAATGATTGAGCGGACCGCACTTGAAATTGTTTTGTCCGCATAAAATCAACCACGACCACAGAAAGTGTGTGCGGCCGCAGATCAAGCAATTATCTGTCTTTAGAGAGTTGTCATTTTTAAAGTTTCAATGTGCAGCCGCACCCAAAATTGTGCAGACCACACTTTAGATGTGTGACCGCGCTTAAAATTGTGCGGACCGCAGAATCATCACTGCGCCCGCACTTTCAAATTGTGCGGTTCGCATAACCACATCTGCGGCCACATTAAAAAAATGTGCGGTCCGCACTTCCCCAACCTGCAACATGTTTTGTTCTGCAAATTTTTTGCTTACCTGCACTTAACTAGAACCGAATCTTACTACTATTTTGTGCAGAATATAGTTAGATTATGTGGTCATGGTGATACATCAAAAGGGAGGAGTGAACCTTCCAGAGGCAGAGGCAAAAGTACCTTACCCCTCTCCCTCCAAAAAGTGATCAGTAAGAAAGCAATAACAGGCCGAGGTAGACAGCCAGAGCCGTCTGAATTAGGTTCATATGCCCCGTCTAGGGAAGCATCGGAGGGCGACTCAGTGCAAAGGCAGTCTGTTGTGCAATCACAACCACATCTGCCCCAGGACAGATACCGACTGAGAAATGAGCCTACCTCTTCTAAAAGTACTTCTGAGGGGTCGGAAGGGAACAGTCAGGCTTCGGAGCCTTCAGCTACACATGGTCCTGACACACCAGCTACTACAGTGAAGGTGGATGAGATCCCAAATGATGGTCGGGGGGG